TGGCGGTTTCTAGTGAATCTGCCTAGTGAGCTTCTATGATAGTACCATGGTCACCAGATTGGGTTATTTCTAATATAAACCCGACCCTTCTCCTGTTGTTCGGGTGTTCATATCTTTCAATTCTTCTTATTACGGCCGTATGCCTGAAGGCACAATTGTCTCTTAGACTAATCTAGTGTCTTATTGTTGGTTAACTGTAACAACTGTGTTGGTTTACCGTTCTTCATCCTTTGTGTATTACATTCCTTGAAACGTACATTTTTTGTTTCTTTTACTTTGATGTCATGGAGATCAGGCACAGTTTCGTCTCATGCCTGACACATTCTTGTACCTTATTATTGGTGTTTTGTCTTTGGCTATAGCGCAGGACGCCGTGATTCCTGACTTGGTAGTTATCGCATGACAAGCCACGTCTGATGTCAACGGAATCCACATCGTCTTGAACGGAGGGCGTGCTGCCAGCAAGGTTGTTGATTTGATTGATTGATTGGTTGTTTGATTGATGGAAAGAAAGAAGGAAAGGAAATACAACGTGACAATGAGCCTCTGTAGGTAAAAGTGGTCCCTGAGGGTACGTTAATTGAGATGAATGGGAGGAGGGAATAAATATATAAGTATACATCTTCGTTTAGAGGAAGAATAATGAAGTATCAACCGAATTGGGTTCTTCTATATATAAGTCGTGGACCCTCAACTGAACTTGGGCAATCAATCGTCTTTGTTTGCATTCGAGAATTGCATGGCAAACCGCGACTTGATGCTGCCGCTTGCGCAAGCAATCGCTACCTACGGTATCTGACCAGCTAGCGTAGGTAGGTATTCACCGTCATGCACATTGAATTCATCAAGTCGCGTAGGTCCATTCACCGTCAAGACCATTCAGAGTACACCCTAGGTAGGCTCGAGTATGTGACTCGAGCTGAAAGAACAACCGGCCCAGAGCCTTTCTCTAAAGTTGGCTGGCAGACAGACTCAGACCTCAGTTTGTTATGGCAAACGGTACTATAGTACCTACCTGCCTGCCACTTTATATTGGATGGTCCTCGCGCTTTTGTTTATTAGCGTCGCCTTTCATAAAGCGCTTGCATCGCGATGATGCATCCTGACACTGGCAGTCACTGTTACCTAGTCTTGGTAATGAATGGCACAAGGGGACAGAGAATCCGAGTGCCTCTGCAGCCACCACAAGCGTTACAAATTGAATGAGGCAATTGATTTGCCTTTGCTTACCTACTCATGACACTGAGTGAAGAAGAAAATTATGACATTCTGCACATTCTACCAAAAAGAAGCATTAGCACCAAGCCTACAAAGCCGGGTAAATACCCAACCTTCATCCTAACTCATACATATCTTAAACTTTTGGATCTTGTGGCCAAGTGTTTCGCCGGATTTCTTTGTATGTTCCTCCATTTACATACAGTTTTGGTATATGGCACCTTCCTGCTCTTGCGAGTTGCGTAGCGCGGGCTGGAGTTAAGAAGGAAGGCGCGTACCCTCAATCTTCCCTGGAGTGCTTCTTGCCAGCACCACAACCGACACACTTCTTCCTCCCTCCCTCCCTCCCCGACTCCCTCTTTAATCCCGTTTTCCTACCCTTAACTTCGGTTTTATTTCTCGAGCCTGATTCTCTCCACAAGGTCGATCACTTGGGTCAAAGTGATGGCAAAGGTGTGAAATCCCACTCGTTCTTAAACTAGGTATCTTATACTGCACTACGCATATTGGCCACCTCTGTATTTCTACAGTCCTTCTCACACTTTTGCAGAAGCATCATTCTGCTAGATATCCCCACGAACTCATCTGCATCCACACTCAGACAGATCTGGACCATCTAGCAAACCAAATCTAAAAGGCACCTTCCTTGAATCTCAGAGATACTGATCGTCCTTACCACCTCTGGTGAACAAGATATATCGAGCTGAGCCAGCATGGAGGACTTGTCTTCCCCCATCAGCATCGCTTCGTCTACCCCAACTGGTCCAACTTCGGCTTCAAAAGTCACTTACACCACTGCTGGCACCCCGTACAATCCTAGCACTTCTCAGCCACTGCAACCGCCTGCCCGACGAGGTCGCTCTCTCAAGTGGCCTGCCGGTCTCCCTGCAGCTGGGTTATCTCTGCTTCCCAAATCTGTTCTTGCCACTCTGCCCCTCAAAGCTGGATCACGGTCATCGACTCTTCAGCAGTTCAGCCCTCAGACGCCCTACGACAGAACATCCAGCCCCTTGGACGATAAAGACCACAGATGTATCAACATGTCCGCTCAAGTACCCCGAATCGTGCCTTCTGCGACCCCGTCGCCGCTTGCGTCCCTTTTCTCCGAAGCTGAACAAGACACGCTTACCGACGTTGACGCAAGTGAGGAAAGCGACGAAGAGTGCGAACTTGGCATGGACCCGTTGATGAATATGACAGTAAAGTCTCTTCACAACCTGGCTTCTTACCCAAACCCCAATCAGAAGCGAGCTCAGAAAGCCCTTCTTCGGGGGCTCAAACCGGCCCTAGGCCTGAAGACGACAACCCGTGTTGACGAGCCTTTGGCTCCCATTACTCATTCCTTTGGACTCCAAGATGCGTCCAACAACAACAACAACGCGCTGCCAAGTGTGTTACAGCCGCCACAGGCAGAGAACACTGCCCTCGGAAGATCTTTCGATGACGCATTCTGGAATTCCCAGGCCAATGAGTCACCCATCATTCCCCTTGGCTCATCCCGGAGCTTCAATCGCGCAGTTGGCAGCAATACCGCGCGTGCTCCTGGTATCATGGCTCCTGGTGCCGGTGCTCCACGGCCTTTGACTGCCGGACCCCCTGGTCAACGCCAATATCGACCATCGACCTTCGAGTCAACTTTCAAAGCACTCCACACAAACATACCAAGCCAAGATGTCAAGCAAGACGAAGACGAAGACGTTCTTATCATTACTCGACAGACCCTACGACAGGCAGGTATCAGTAACAACAGCCTAGCACAGAATATGCCGTCGTTTGAAGCGACTGCCTCACAGGCTTCACATATCGCAGAGGGTTTGGAGGGGTTGTCTGCCAATTACAAAAGCACCCGGTCAAGTGCACCCGCAACCGCCGCGACGCGAGGCTCCCAGTATCCTGCGAGAGGAGCGCCATCCTGGGGCTTAGACACTGCGACGACATCTGCATGCTGGACATCATCGCCTGAGCTCAGCCAGTCTCGATACACATCGGGACCTAGATTCAGGGCACCAAAGGAACTTCAGGCCTACAACAATAAGATCAATCACGCCTGGTACTACGGAGCCGATTTCCTAGTAGCTACACCAAGCGAGATCGCTTTGCAGGTTCAGCCTCCCAAGGGAAAGGGGCAGTTTGGTGCAATTGGGGATGGCCGTCCGTCGAAGAGAGGTGAATTCCATCGCCGAATGGAAATTGAAGACGCCAATCGCATGTCAGTAGCAGACCATGCTCGCCCACTGTTCAATATGGCACATGCAAACGTGCAGCAGTTCATTGAAGGCGAGTGGAACAAGAGCCAGGAACGTGCTACGGTACTCTAGGCAACCAAGTAGAGGCTGCTAGTCAGGGCGGAGGTGATTGGCGATGAGTATGAAATTTCTCATACGATGCCCTATACACGACGGCATGGAATAGTTTCTGAGAAAAAGTATGTGGACGATGGCGGCCTTGCGTGACTGTTGCAGGGCAGGAAGGTTGGATGCTTTTTGGGATGGGCTCTGACGGAAGCCAGTCACGATGTGAGCGGCGATGTTTATACTTAGAAGAAACAACGGCCAAGCAAATGTATTTCGGCCGGTTTACAACGTTGGCAGTATAGAAAGAACGGGTAACTTAGTAGTCCGTAGCCGGCATGCGAAAACGGAATATGATGAACAATTATCATACTTGCAACGGGAGCGTTGACCCTTCTTGTGACTAGTGTGCAGCTGGTTACAACATGATCCACAGTTATGAGCTACTTGAGCCAAACTTTTTCTTCTCAAAAGGATTACGAGAGTTAGGAACAGAAGTATGTTGATATATATATACAGGCGTAGTAGCCAGAAATTTTAATCTTACTATATGTTGTATAACAAACATCACTGAAAACAAGCTCACGATCAAGAAAGTTCGATAGTCTAACTCGTGATGGTAAATCCCGTACTTGACTTGTCATGGGGTGTTGAATACCTTACCTATACTTGGCGCATGGCCGTGGTGGCACATGTCAGAAAGTGACAGTTACCAACATTGTTCTTGGATATGTTGCCTCTTTAAGCTAGCACCAACTTTAGTTTGAAGAGAAGATGAAGACAATTGAAGGAGAACGTGAGTGGGTCTCATGACGTTCGTAAGGGGCCTTGATTTTTTGGGAATCTTATGTACTAAGGTACAGAGTACTCCGTAGACTACATAATTTCCTTTCGGCAGATAACAAGTAATGGGACTCAAGAGCTGGAAAAGGCCGAAGTTGCAGTTGTGGAGATGCTATGTTATGTCATTTCGAAATACCTAGTTAGACTGTATTTCGGAGACTGACACAAGATTTGGTGCCAGATAGTGTCTGCTCCAACCCTCTTTACAGGACGGAGGTAGGTCGGTAGGTACCTACCCTACCTTACCTACTAAGCTATAGGTACCTAGATCGCGTTGGTGTTTCTTCGGCCCACTCTTTTTTACTACTGGCCTCTTTTCCCTTCTGTCCTTTACCAAGTTCAAGTCTCTTGATTGCATCCTCTTCCCTTCTTTCTGGGTACCGGTCCTGAACTGCAACCATTGCTTGCTACCTATTCTCTGGCTCTTCATTACTGCGAGAATCCGGTTTTCTGCGCGCGTTAACGCACGAACCAACAAGAGAGAGGATACAAGTGCAAAGCGGGAATTGGACGAGAAACCTAGGTTTTACCCACTCCAACGAGAAAAGGCCACAACACCAATCGATCGCTCTGCAAGCCAGCCGGAGCACAAAACCGAGAACAAACAACTTTCGCGACAAATTTAAACAAACGAGATACAATACAACGATGGTCTACGTACGGCAAAAGGAGCTCCCCGCGCTCCGTGAGTACAAATACTCTGGTGTCGACCATTCACTGCTTTCCAAATATGTTCTAAAGCCCTTCTACACGAAATTCGTCATCAATTGCTTCCCGATGAGCATGGCACCGAACCTGATCACTCTGACGGGCTTTTCATTCGTCGTTGCAAACTTCTTGACGCTGCTGTGGTATACTCCCACTCTTGACCAAGATTGCCCCCCCTGGGTGTATTATTCTTGGGCACTGGGCTTGTTCCTATATCAAACGTTCGATGCTGTGGACGGAACTCAAGCGTAAGCGTATTACAATCGTATTTGCCGTGTATTGAATTTGTGCTGACAAAACGGCTAGGCGCCGAACTCGGCAATCCGGACCTCTGGGCGAACTCTTCGATCACGGTGTAGATGCTTGTAATACCTCGCTTGAGGTCCTTCTTTTTGCTGCTTCTCAGAATATGGGACAGAGCTGGCAGACTGTGGCAGTCTTGTTCGCATGTGAGTTAACACTGGCGGTTCTGTTGGGATGCGACGATGCTGACTTGCTAGCCCTCTTGACCTTTTATGTTCAGACATGGGAGACTTATCACACGAAAACTCTCACTCTTGGTATCGTCAACGGACCCGTCGAGGGCGTCCTTGCGATCGTCCTGGTCTTCGTTTTCACTGGATACGTTGGGGGTGCTCATTTCTGGCAACAGAGCATGTTCCATACCGTCGGTGTGCCTTCCACCATTGGCATCCCATCTTTCATCTACAACCTCACCTTTACCGAGTGGTATCTTATTCAGGGCAGTATTGTTCTTGTCTTCAACACTGTCGAGTCTTCACTCAACGTCATCCGCGCTCGACGTGCCCATGGTGATCGTTCTCGAGGTGCGCTCCTCGGTCTTGTGCCTTTTTTCAGCATCTGGTCTATGGTGGTTGCCTACCTTTATCTCCAACCCAAGATCCGCGAATGCCATCTCATCCCGTTTGCCCTCTTCGCCGGCCTTGTCAATGCCTATAGCGTCGGACAGATGATCACTGCTCACCTTGTTCACCTGCGTTTCCCTTACTGGAACGTGCTGGGCCTGCCTCTTGCCTTTGGTGTCATCGATTCATTGGGCCCCATCTTCCAGCGTTACTTAGGGTTTGGTTGGCCCAGCGCTCTTGGTGATAATGTCTACCAAGTGGCTTTCATGTTCATGATGCTCGGAACCGCCGTCGGTGTCTACGGAAGTTTTGTCGTTGACGTAATCGTTACCATCTGCGATTACCTCGACATCTGGTGCCTTACTATTAAGCATCCTCATGTTGAAAACGAAGGCACCCAGGCCAATGGTACAAAGAAGGACTAAATGACTGATACAGACCCATGTCGATGGGTTTTCAGCGGTGCAGGGGCCCGATCCCCTGAATACAAGAGTCACATGACAAGACAAACAATTGGGCTCAAAAACAGAGACGTTGGCAGTTCCAGGTTCGAACAGAGTAACGGAAACGCTTCATGCAGGGTTGGGAATGAGTCAAGATATCTAAAGAGGGTTTAAAAGAGGGTTATCGCGATTATTACAAATATCAGGGTCGGGCATGTCTTTGATTATTCCGGTTTTCGTGTAGAAGTTTTGCATGATTTGTATGAGGAACGGGCTTGGTTCTTTCTTTTTGGAGTTCTGCAGCGTGTTTTTGCATAATGTAACTGTAGCTTATAGATGACATTTCTATGTCTGCTGCCAACTTCAACAGTATATTAATCTTTTGCGAGCCTGTACGTGTGTATGACCATATAGACCTAACGTCGTCATGGGCTAGGCTTTCAAGATCATGCAGGTCGCAGGGTTAAGAAACCTTTAATAGAAAATATTTCAACATTTTTGCAACTAAATATACTTGACTTTCCAAGATCCTATAGCATGGTCGTGCATATGGCAGACATTTGCTTGCGTGTCTTTGAAAACCAGTCCAAACTTTCTTGGGAGATATACGTAAAAACCTTGAATACAAAACGCCGCGCCAAAAAGCCCCGACGGGCGGGGTATCATCTTCCACTAAGTCTCTTTGGGCAATATACGTCAATCATAATGAAGCCATTCGTGTATCCTTTCTTCCAAATTGGCCCTTTTGCGCCTGGCCGCTCACTTAGAGAAGGTCATCGGTACCGCTCGCGACACTCTGTTCGATGGCGTTGGTGATTGAACGCTCTGAGAAAACAGGACCCTGGCCATCACATCTAGCGCAGTTCTTCAGACGCTCGCTGACATCGGCAATATCAACAAGGCCTTTCTTGAACAACTCGTGGGATATGATAAAGTCCCATGTTGCACCAGCAGCTAGGAGACGCTCACCATCGTCTGAGGTGACAATACGGTGTGAGGGCGACTTATTTGTGTGGTTCTGCAAGACGTTGGAGTAGAAGTCGGTGGGTTTGAAGCGCAGAGGCCCGGTTGCAGGCTCTGGAGAGATGGAACCATGGCTCATGCGGGATGTCGCGCGAAGGATTTCGTTCTCGGTAGATATTTTCTGGAGATCTCGCTTTAATCGTTCATTTTCAAGGGATGATTGTTGTTGAGCGGCCTCAAGGCCGGCAAGCTTCGCCTCAAGGTCTTTAACATGCTTTTCTTTCCTCTCGCGGAAGGCACGCTGCCTGTACAGTCATATGTTAGTCACGTATTAAATCATTGTCATCGATCGCATTTCGAAGTCATAGCAATGGCTTGTACAATGGGGACTTCTTGCAGAATAAAAGAACAAGGCAGGAGAGGAGAGGAGACGTACGCAGCGCGATTCTGTGCTTTCCTCCGAGACTGAGCAGGAGTTAGGTTCTCGTCCTCCTCGCTTCCCCCGCGGGCAACGGACTGCTCGTCAGGAGAGCCATTCCTTAACGAGCCTCCTTGCTGTTGATGGGCTTGGGCCTGGGAAGTATAGCCGGGAGGTGTCGGGGGGCCCGGAAAACCAGAGGCAGACTGATGAGGGTTTGCATTGAAGCCCTGGGCTGTGGTATAATCGAAAGACTGGAACTGGTCATTTTGACTGGCAGAGAGGCCGTCGTAGTTTTCCTATAGGTGCCAAAACAATATGTCAGCAAAGATGCACTAATGCCATGAGATAGACGAGATGCAGGTACAACGTTGAAGATGTGCTTGTGAGGCTCAACATTGCTAGAGTAATGCTCAGGTAAGGAAACGCTAAGGCAGGGCTGCACCGGGGGAGTGGGGGAGATCGCGGAGAAGGGGTCGTTTACTGACAGGCGGGGATGCATTGAAGTCATCGGAGCCGGCGGAATGCGAGTGTGACGGCGTCAGAGGAGGAATCGGCATGAACTGGTGATAGGGCTGAGGGTTGGCAAAGTTGTATTGCCCGGTGAAATCCATCGTGAACCTTCAGAGGCGGTGGTTGAGGTTGAGCGAAGGTTAAACGAAGCAGGTGGAGTAGAGCAGAATCGAATCGAGTAGTTCGATGGAAGTGACTGTCACCACACGAAAAGGACGAGGAGCCAGAGATGAATGAGTGTGAGCGCAAATGAACAAAGATGTGATAACTCAATGTCGGTTTGAAGAGACAGAAGCGCTTCTTGGTTAAAATAGTAGAGAAGAAGTTGAGGTTGTATGGGGGCTTGGCTCTAGGTTGGTGGATGAATTGACTGGGTGTGAACGAGGCGGGTGACGCGGGTGGGCAAAGAAGAGAGGTGGAGGTGGAGGTGCAGACCGATTGACCAAGGTGAGAGAGAGTGTGAGCCCCAAAAGCATAGAGCACAGAGCACGGGCAGGGCAGGGCAGCAGGGCAGCAGGTCCGTCGGTTGGGCTGGGTTGGTAGGGAGGTGGTACGGACGGGGCAGCAGTAGGTAGCCTTAATGAAGCATAACGTGCAATGCGTTTCACGAACGGGGGGACGGGAAAGGTTGGGCCTGGGCCCTTTTAAGAAATGGCTGAGACTCTACGATATAGGTCGAGCTAAGCGATATATGGCAAAGCTAGGTGCCAATCACGACTGACACGGCATTTGCCTTTGACGTGCATATTGGCCGTTGTGTGTTAGTCGTGCCAAGCCAGGGTCGGATATCAACATCGTGAGCTTCCTAACTCGAGCATTGCAACGAACTTCCAAACGAGAAACATTTCTGGATGATCAAAGGCCTCACAGAGGTTGTCCAGTATTACGGAAAGGGTTCCATGTCGCGTTCCAAGCTAAAGTGTCGCCTAGGAAGAGTTTCGATGGGGGAGCTGCAGCAAGGCGGCCGACGTTACTGGGCATTTTATTCGTCCCTTATTTCCTTGCCTTTACCCGCCAGCTCAGCGCTCTTCAGTTATCTCCCTGGAGCCCAATGGTTGTGCAGACGTTAAGGGCAAGTCGTGAGTTAGTCCACGAGCTTGAGGCTAGAAAAATGCGTCTCCTGCACATGCAGGCAGGGCTACCTTGAACAGCAACATTGACGCAGCACACTGATCAGCCCCCCTGACACATTGTTCTTATCGGCTGGTCTCTTGATTCCATTTCGTGAACCACCACTTTTGACCAGAACACAGTTCGTACCTAGGTAGGAAGTTTCCTGAGTTTCTGAAGTCTGTGCTACCTAGTGTCAAGTTGACATTCAATGTTAGTCAGACAACTCTCGGTTCATATATATATGACGGCCTCAGGACATGGAACAAACCACGGACGAACCTGACAAACTGACTCCACTGACAAGCGTGGTTCTAGCAAACTTCAAAGGTTCCGTCTAATGCACAATGGTAAAAAAAAAATAAATAAATAAATAAAAATAAATAAATAAAAAACGGTTGCCTGATCCTCATCGCGGTTCTCTTTCCTCCTTCTGTCCCCGAGGCCTGGTGGGTCGTTAGCGTGTAGGTAAGCAGGGTCGTCTTTCACATGGGGGTTCAAGAGGATCTGCGCTTGACATATCAAGATCGTATAAGCCAAGATAAGGTAGGTATCTAAGTACTAATCTATCTCCCTCTACCTTAACTTACCTACCTAGACGCTCCGGATTTGTTCGGGATTTAATTGACTTTGTGCAGCCCTGGCACATTGGTTTCCAGACAGTATATCCATCAATACCTAGACAACGACCTATCTCAACAACGCCTTAAATGCATCTTGCAAACCTCTAACGACCCTCTCATTCCCAGCCTTACAAGGACAACTTCTGAAGCTTCTTCGGCCCTATTTACACACGCAGCCCCGTATTTTGATCTAGTATGTTCAGCCTGGCCCAGCGCAGTCGATACAACAGACAACAACTTCATCAGGCGAAGCCACATCTGCATCCGACTCTGCTTAGTCGGCCGCCCGCCCGCCCGCATTGCCCGCCCGCTTAAGCAAGAGACCCTTAAGAGACCCCCGACTGATCCCGTAACACAATGGAGAGCTTGCGCACTAGATTTTTTCGAACGGACTCTGCTCGTTTGCACGTGGTTCGGCCAGAGTTCTGTGCTCTCTTGGCAACTTCTCCCAACCTTCGCCGGGTTTGTTTGGGGAAGATATACATAAACTCGGCCCATAGAATCCGCACATGAGAGTAAGATATTAGGGTTGGAGGGGTAATGCTACGGCGCAACTGTCGAATTGGTGTGTTCTTGATATTCGCCTTGACCTCCAGAATCGTTAGAACTGCGAGTAAGATACCTTAGTTTGGCTCCTGTACGCAAATGATATGGCAAGTACCTAGGTAGTCAGCAACCGCACCCACAGCCTGAAGACATTTGCTCCGTTTAGGTGCTTACTGACTTATCATCGCTAGCACATGGAACTCTGTGTAACCAATAATACAGTACTCAGGCGCTGCTTCGCGCATCCCCTGCTGGACCCGTCGGGTTTCTCTGTCTCCAGGGTTTGTCCTGGAATGGTCAATTCCTTGGGGGCCTAGTTACGTGGTATCCTAAGACCCTTGGTAAATGATATATGCAGTCGAAGGTCTCAATGCCCTTCCCCATGGAATAGTATCCCGACGCTTCTCTCCGGGAAATCGGACTCAGATGTTGCACCCACGATATGATAACCCAGTGTATCCATCTGGCGGGCGCAGCTTTGTGTAGGTGCATGCAAATGCAACTCCCAAGTTGTCAAACGTGGGGAGCAATCAACTTGGATCTTACGCAACCTCCGGAGCAAACCCCGTACGTAAGGTAGATCCCGCACTCGCTCACCTAAAGCCTCAAGCAGGTGGGTGGGTGCTGTTCGCCAGCCCTCTTCACCATTCCGACTTTTATCACACCTTGGATACTTACCTAGGGTGACATTGAGGCGAGAGATTGACATTTAGGTATAGACGTGTTGTCACTATACAATATCAATGGTCGGGTACCTCAGCCACTGTGCCTAGAATGTGATGAACAGATTGTTCTTGGTGCCGTTATTC